CCCCAAAACCCCAAAACCCCAAAACCCCAAAACCCCTAGCTCGAAAGAAATACTTGAAATATAATATTTTATGAAATCCAATATGCTAGTAGAGGATTGATTTGATGATCTGATGGAGAGCTCAAATGAAGAATACTCTATCCCTTCAATTGACAACATCCGTTCTGTCTCGCATGGAGTCTCCATTCTGGCTGACCTCAATGAGTCCGCTATAGAATATATTCAAAAGGACATGCTTGAGGAAGCAGGAGAAAGCTTGCTTCATGCAATTGAGGCTATTCCAAGAGTCCAATTTTTGCTAGAAAAGGAGCCTATTGAGCAGCAAAAAGTGTTTGATTATTCCTACGTCTGAACTATATTCTACAATATGGCTGTGATCTATCAGAAGCTCTCTGGCCTTGAAGATTGCAAACTTTTCCTTGAGAAAACACTGAAATGAATGAAGAAATTGGATATATTTAAATTCACTCAGAAAATAGTTGACCATAGATTTGAAAATATGAAGAATAATGAGTAAGATCTATTGATAATTTTAGGGAATTTGCACAGAGTTATACACCCAAAACATCGAAAGAAATCAATTCAGCATTAGTACTATTACGATTTTTATCAAAATTTACCCTCCAGTACTGAGCTGTTCTCAGTCAATTAAGCTTTCACGAGGAAGCACTGAAGAAGAGTAAAGAAGCTGCTTTCTACTGACAATAAAACAATTATTTCTAACCGAGAGATTGTGTAAATAAGAGAATTAAAAAAATAGCCAAAAGAGCTAAGGGGGCCAATAGAAAGAAAAGTTGTAAAGATCTAAAAACCCTAAACAAGAAATTTAAAGAAAAGCTTATGAATAGTGAGTATGGGTCCCTTGTTTCTGAGAAGAGGAATAGCTCTAACTCTTCTAAGTGATACGGAATCTCACCTGCCTCAAGGATCGCCAGAAATTTCAAAATTAGGTATAAACCAAAGAAGAAAACGAAGCTAGTTTTTATGAATAAATCAGAAGCAAATTTATTTAGCCCTATGAAAAGTACGAGGAATAATAAAATATGTGAAAACTATTTTAAGTCACGGTCTTCTTCCCAGTCTGGGGAAATCAAGAGTATGAAGAGGAATAGTGAATCAAGTATATCCTCAAACAACTCTGTATTGCATATGAAGAAGAATAGTTCGATTGATGGACTCCACAACTTTAATATGAAAACTCTGAATTATATGAACCGTGATATTTCAGATTGTTCTTTTGAGACATATAGCAATGGATCTGTCCAGAGCCGTAGAAGCAACTCTTCAACTGCGATGTACGTTGAAGAGAAAGTCAAACTTGATGATACCAAAAATTACAACCTTCCTATGCTCCAAGAAGTTAACAAGATAATTTGAGATTTTTCAACAATTATTGAAATGAGTAAAGCAAAGCGTCAGGAGTACTTCTCAGATAGAATTGGTGCAAAACGGAAGGCTAAAATATCTTTCAGCAACGAAGAGGAGATAAATAAAATGAAGGCAGACAAGACGTTCAAGTCCAATGAAAGAAACTTGCTAGGCGTTAAAAATTCTCATTCCTGGATTTACAACCTTAATATAGGTAATATTATGCACCTCCAGCAGATGGACTTTGACACTATGCATCTTAGCTTCAAGCTTGAGAATATACTCAAGAAAACTAGTCAAGAGCTAAACAAGGATATTATCTTAGAGAAAATTGTCTATATTACAGTGGCTTATTTCTGAGTTGGCACAGAATATCGATTTTTAAATAGCAAAGTTGATTCGAAGAAGTATGACAAAAAGGATTCTGAGATCTGGCATGCAAAGGCCTTGCACATCTGATCAACTTTTATGCCTCCAAATTCACCTTTAGTCAAACATATCACTAAGAGCTATGTCAAACATCACTTGAAAGGCAAGTTAGAGGCTAGGATGGAGGAAGAAAAAGTACCGTTACTTAAAAGACAGAATGAAGAAAAGTCACCAGAAAGAATAAGTGAAAATAAAAGAAATTTGAATACTCCTGAACCAGAAATACAAAAGGAAGATTTGACGAGATGTAACCAGAAAGTCAAGGAACTGATCATTCAAGAACTTCCTCTATCTTCTAAGGAGATCTTAAAAGACGATTTAGATCATGAGAAGCCTTGAATTGAGGAAGAAGAAGTTAAACTTGACCCTCTACCTCAGGATAAGACAAGAAATAATGGTAAAATAGGCTTCTTTTGAACCCAAAAAACAATAAAGCCTTAAATTTATAGATAATGGAGCAGGTAGATAGTGTTTCCAGGCTTTTATTTTTAAATATACTTTATTGAGTGCTATTCAAGTCGAAAACTGTGAAAAATAAACATTTCTTACCTCTTAGTCAATGTTAAAGATACTGTAAATGTAGAATAATCTCTGTTTTTATAACATAAAGAAGATAAAACCCAGATGAGATCTTCAATTTATATCGTTCATATTTAAGGATGCTCTATTGCTAAAATCACATAATTAAATGCCTCTCTAAAAGTGAAAGATTAACTGAGAGGATAAGATATATAATCTGACAATAGGAAATTTATATTTTCAATTACATCCAAGAATATCTGTCAAAATTTTAGACTGTATTATTTTGCAGTGGGTCAAAAATAAACTTAATAGCACCTTATAATGATCGAACTAATGAAATTTCCTTGATTCTGCCCGATTTACTTTCTTCATATACATTTAGAACACCCAATAATTAAGCCTGTGACTCTGACCAAAGCTATCAAGATAAGCAAGAAAGTTCTGGCCAAGAAAGAACTTAGCAGTGTAAGGGATATTTTAGAGTTTTTAGAGGGAAAAAGTGGGGATTTTGAAAGGTTTTAGGGGTAGGATGTGTTTGTAGGGAGTGTGTTTGTATAGAGGAAGATTTCGCTGAAGGGGGTCAAGAAGAGAAAGAAAAGTGTAGGGGTTAGAAGTAGGAAGGGTTCTAATGAGAGGTAGTGGCGTGGTGGAAATTTTTAGGAATGTTCAGATAAGCAGGCATAAGAATGTTAGGACTGAGGTTTGATCACCGAATTCTTTATCAGGAAATGTCATATTTCTGAAATCAAAGAAAAAGTCAAGGAATGAGAATGTGCAGAAGAAAGGATCTCAGATAAACTTCTTTAAGACAACTACTCTTAGAATGAATGACGGTTACAAGAAGATTTCGAAGAAAGTATGCTATTTCAAATAATTTTTAGTCAATCATCCAAATTAAACCTAAAGCTAAGCACAAAATGAAACTGAACGAAAGAATTCAGAAGATAGAAGAAGCTCTCCGATGACATAGTGCACGGAGGTCTAAACGAATAGAAGCAGATACAGGCGGAAGCGTTCTAAGACACTCTAAAAGAAGCAGTGAGGAAATAAAAAAAGAAGACTTGTAACGAAATTTACTAATTTTATATAAAATTTACTTAACTTTAAACTCAATAACTTTAGGAAGGTTTCAACCCAGCAGCCAAAGTTTGGGGTTTTGGGGTTTTGGGGTTTTGGGGTTTTGGGG